TTAAAACTGCAGATAACTACTTAAAAATTCACTTCCTTGAATTGATAATAGGTTTTTCTTTGTCATTTTAAACAGATTCCAGTCAAAATCGGCTTCTTCGATTCATATCGTATCTAAAACCGCATCAAAACTGCAAATATCAGTTTAAACTATCATTTTTTGATACAAACAGTTATATATTCATGTCAATATCTTTCAAATTCTAGTCAAAATCGGCGTCTTTGGGCATTTTAGTAACGAAAACCTTAATAAACTATTAGATTTCGACGTAAGGCAACCTTTCTGAGTCAAATAGTTGCCGATTTCGATAAAATCTTAGTCAGAATCTGCTTTTTCGCCTCTTATTGTACCCAAATCTACCTTAGAAATGCAGATATATACTTAAAACACCTTCTTTTGGGACAAATAATTGGTTTTCGCCCTTGATTTACGGAAGATTATAGCAAAAACATGCATTTTCATAACTTAGCGAACTGAAATCTACATTAAAAGTGCAGATAACTACTTAAAAATTCACTTCCTTGAATTGATAATAGGTTTTTCTTTGTCATTTTAAACAGATTCCAGTCAAAATCGGCTTCTTCGACTCATATCGTACCTAAAACCGCATCAAAACTGCAAATATCAGTTTAAACTATCATTTTTTGATACAAACAGTTATATATTCATGTCAATATCATTCAAATCCTAGTCAAAATCGGCGTCTTTGGGCATTTTAGTAACGAAAACCTTAATAAACTATTAGATTTCGACGTAAGGCAACCATTCTGAGTCAAATAGTTGCCGATTTCGATAAAATCTTAGTCAGAATCTGCTTTTTCGCCTCTTATTGTACCCAAATCTACCTTAGAAATGCAGATATATACTTAAAACACCTTCTTTTGGGACAAATAATTGGTTTTCGCCCTTGATTTACGGAAGATTATAGCCAAAACATGCATTTTCATAACTTAGCGAACTGAAATCTACATTAAAACTGCAGATAACTACTTAAAAATTCACTTCCTTGAATTGATAATAGGTTTTTCTTTGTCATTTAAAACAGATTCCAGTCAAAATCGGCTTCTTCGACTCATATCGTACCTAAAACCGCATCAAAACTGCAAATATCAGTTTAAACTATGATTTTTTGATACAAACAGTTATATATTCATGTCAATATCTTTCAAATTCTAGTCAAAATCGGCGTCTTTGGGCATTTTAGTAACGAAAACCTTAAAAAACTATTAGATTTCGACGTAAGGCAACCATTCTGAGTCAAATAGTTGCCGATTTCGATAAAATCTTAGTCAGAATCTGCTTTTTCGCCTCTTATTGTACCCAAATCTACCTTAGAAATGCAGATATATACTTAAAACACCTTCTTTTGGGACAAATATTATTTTTCGCCCTTGATTTACGGAAGATTATAGCCAAAACATGCATTTTCATAACTTAGCGAACTGAAATCTACATTAAAACTGCAGATAACTACTTAAAAATTCACTTCCTTGAATTGATAATAGGTTTTTCTTTGTCATTTTAAACAGATTCCAGTCAAAATCGGCTTCTTCGATTCATATCGTATCTAAAACCGCATCAAAACTGCAAATATCAGTTTAGACTATCATTTTTTGATACAAACAGTTATATATTCATGTCAATATCTTTCAAATTCTAGTCAAAATCGGTGTCTTTGGGCATTTTAGTAACGAAAACCTTAATAAACTATTAGATTTCGACGTAAGGCAACCTTTCTGAGTCAAATAGTTGCCGATTTCGATAAAATCTTAGTCAGAATCTGCTTTTTCGCCTCTTATTGTACCCAAATCTACCTTAGAAATGCAGATATATACTTAAAACACCTTCTTTTGGGACAAATAATTGGTTTTCGCCCTTGATTTACGGAAGATTATAGCCAAAACATGCATTTTCATAACTTAGCGAACTGAAATCTACATTAAAACTGCAGATAACTACTTAAAAATTCACTTCCTTGAATTGATAATAGGTTTTTCTTTGTCATTTTAAACAGATTCCAGTCAAAATCGGCTTCTTCGATTCATATCGTATCTAAAACCGCATCAAAACTGCAAATATCAGTTTAAACTATCATTTTTTGATACAAACAGTTATATATTCATGTCAATATCTTTCAAATTCTAGTCAAAATCGGCGTCTTTGGGCATTTTAGTAACGAAAACCATAGTAAACTATTAGATTTCGACGTAAGGCAACCTTTCTGAGACAAATAGTTGCCGATTTCGATAAAATCTTAGTCAGAATCTGCTTTTTCGCCTCTTATTGTACCCAAATCTACCTTAGAAATGCAGATATACAATTAAAACACCTTCTTTTGGGACAAATAATTGGTTTTCGCCCTTGATTTACGGAAGATTATAGCCAAAACATGCATTTTCATAACTTAGCGAACTGAAATCTACATTAAAACTGCAGATAACTACTTAAAAATTCACTTCCTTGAATTGATAATAGGTTTTTCTTTGTCATTTTAAACAGATTCCAGTCAAAATCGGCTTCTTCGACTCATATCGTACCTAAAACCGCATCAAAACTGCAAATATCAGTTTAAACTATGATTTTTTGATACAAACAGTTATATATTCATGTCAATATCTTTCAAATTCTAGTCAAAATCGGCGTCTTTGGGCATTTTAGTAACGAAAACCTTAATAAACTATTAGATTTCGACGTAAGGCAACCATTCTGAGTCAAATAGTTGCCGATTTCGATAAAATCTTAGTCAGAATCTGCTTTTTCGCCTCTTATTGTACCCAAATCTACCTTAGAAATGCAGATATATACTTAAAACACCTTCTTTTGGGACAAATATTATTTTTCGCCCTTGATTTACGGAAGATTATAGCCAAAACATGCATTTTCATAACTTAGCGAACTGAAATCTACATTAAAACTGCAGATAACTACTTAAAAATTCACTTCCTTGAATTGATAATAGGTTTTTCTTTGTCATTTTAAACAGATTCCAGTCAAAATCGGCTTCTTCGATTCATATCGTATCTAAAACCGCATCAAAACTGCAAATATCAGTTTAAACTATCATTTTTTGATACAAACAGTTATATATTCATGTCAATATCTTTCAACATTACTAAATATTTCCGGGCTTTTGAGCCGTGGTCCCGAGATTAAACTCGACGTTTCGTCTACAACTGCGGAAGACATTTTCAAGAGCGGCGATGCGGTAACGGTCGAAGTGTTCTTCCGTACTGCTCTCCGATGACTGGTTTGTTGACTGGAAGATCCGCCGTATTTAAGCGCGCTGTAATGGGCGTGACCTCGGTGGCGGGCTTGGGTTGAACTTGTCTGGGTAAACACGTTGTTTTGTTGATGACCTGAGTCCATGTTTTACTGATATTGAGACCTTCTTCTTTTCTATTGAAATTATTCCGATGTTTTTGAATTTCAATAGCTTCTCTGAAAAGACGTGGATAAAAATGTGGTGTTTTGTCCAGTACCTGCGTGTCTTTGAACATGATACGATGGTCACCTTTGTCAAAAGCATGTTCTGCCACTGCTGATTTTTCCGTGTGTCCAAGTCGGCAGTTTCTTTTATGTTCCGTTAGTCTAGTTTCAACGCTTCTCTTTGTGGTACCTATATATACCGAGCCACAGGAACACGGAATGCGGTATATCCCTGGTGAAGAAAAGGCGTCCCTTGTATCCTTGGCAGACCTGAGGCTTTGTCTGATTGTAGTCGTTGGTTTAAAGACGACCCGAACGTTGTGTCGTTCTAAATGTTTACCGATCCTGTCTGTGACGTTCTTAATAAAAGGAAATGATACCTTCCCTTGAGGTTCCTCTGTCGTATCTCTTGTCTTAGATCTTCTATTTTTCATAGCTTTTTGTATTTCAGAGGTGGTATATCCGTTATTTTTCAGGGAATTGGTCAAGTGATTAATCTCTTCACGCAGGTACTTGGGTTCGCTAATCCGATTAGCCCTTGTCATTAAGGTTTTTATTACCCCCATTTTCTGTCTCGGATGGTGATTAGATAATTTGTTCAGGTAACGTTCCGTGTGAGTGGGTTTTCGATAAACTTTATGACCCAATTTTCCATTTGGTCGCCTTTCTACCTGCACATCTAAGAATGCCAACCTGCCGTCCTTTTCTGTCTCCATGGTAAATTTTATTTTATTGTTAATGGAATTGAGATGCGCCAAGAAGATTTGAAGCTCCTTTTCGCCGTGGCTCCATATTACAAATGTGTCGTCCACGTAGCGGAACCAACACTTGGGCTTCTTTTGGGCAGTATTTAATGCCTGCTGTTCAAACTTTTCCATGAAAAAATTTGCTATGACCGGGCTTAATGGGCTTCCCATGGCTACCCCGTCAACTTGTTCATAAAACTCCTTGTTCCATTGGAAATAAGTGGTGGTTAAGCAGTGTCGGAAAAGTTCTGTGACATCGTTCCGAAAATGTGCAGATATTAAATCCAAAGTCTCCTTGACTGGCACCATAGTGAACAAAGAAACAACATCGAAGCTCACTAATATGTCTTTGGGTGACAAAGTGATGTTTTTGATCTTCTGTATAAACTGAGTCGAGTCCTTGATGTGTGATACTGTCCTCCCTATGAGTGGTTCAAGGAGTTTGGTTAGATGCTTGGCGAGATGGTAAGTCGGGGAACCTATAGCGCTAACTATGGGTCTCAAGGGTACTGCCTCTTTATGAATTTTTGGCAATCCGTATAATCTTGGTGGTAATGCCTCCGAATTGCTTAGTTTTCGCTGGATTTCTGGTTCAATAGATGACTTCTTGATTAACGTCTTTGTTTTCTTTAGGATGCGGTTGGTTGGGTCCTGTTGCAACTTTTTGTATGTTTTGGGGTCTAGCATCTAACCAAACTCCTTGAACCACTCATAGGGAGGACAGTATCACACATCAAGGACTCGACTCAGTTTATACAGAAGATCAAAAACATCACTTTGTCACCCAAAGACATATTAGTGAGCTTCGATGTTGTTTCTTTGTTCACTATGGTGCCAGTCAAGGAGACTTTGGATTTAATATCTGCACATTTTCGGAACGATGTCACAGAACTTTTCCGACACTGCTTAACCACCACTTATTTCCAATGGAACAAGGAGTTTTATGAACAAGTTGACGGGGTAGCCATGGGAAGCCCATTAAGCCCGGTCATAGCAAATTTTTTCATGGAAAAGTTTGAACAGCAGGCATTAAATACTGCCCAAAAGAAGCCCAAGTGTTGGTTCCGCTACGTGGACGACACATTTGTAATATGGAGCCACGGCGAAAAGGAGCTTCAAATCTTCTTGGCGCATCTCAATTCCATTAACAATAAAATAAAATTTACCATGGAGACAGAAAAGGACGGCAGGTTGGCATTCTTAGATGTGCAGGTAGAAAGGCGACCAAATGGAAAATTGGGTCATAAAGTTTATCGAAAACCCACTCACACGGAACGTTACCTGAACAAATTATCTAATCACCATCCGAGACAGAAAATGGGGGTAATAAAAACCTTAATGACAAGGGCTAATCGGATTAGCGAACCCAAGTACCTGCGTGAAGAGATTAATCACTTGACCAATTCCCTGAAAAATAACGGATATACCACCTCTGAAATACAAAAAGCTATGAAAAATAGAAGATCTAAGACAAGAGATACGACAGAGGAACCTCAAGGGAAGGTATCATTTCCTTTTATTAAGAACGTCACAGACAGGATCGGTAAACATTTAGAACGACACAACGTTCGGGTCGTCTTTAAACCAACGACTACAATCAGACAAAGCCTCAGGTCTGCCAAGGATACAAGGGACGCCTTTTCTTCACCAGGGATATACCGCATTCCGTGTTCCTGTGGCTCGGTATATATAGGTACCACAAAGAGAAGCGTTGAAACTAGACTAACGGAACATAAAAGAAACTGCCGACTTGGACACACGGAAAAATCAGCAGTGGCAGAACATGCTTTTGACAAAGGTGACCATCGTATCATGTTCAAAGACACGCAGGTACTGGACAAAACACCACATTTTTATCCACGTCTTTTCAGAGAAGCTATTGAAATTCAAAAACATCGGAATAATTTCAATAGAAAAGAAGAAGGTCTCAATATCAGTAAAACATGGACTCAGGTCATCAACAAAACAACGTGTTTACCCAGACAAGTTCAACCCAAGCCCGCCACCGAGGTCACGCCCATTACAGCGCGCTTAAATACGGCGGATCTTCCAGTCAACAAACCAGTCATCGGAGAGCAGTACGGAAGAACACTTCGACCGTTACCGCATCGCCGCTCTTGAAAATGTCTTCCGCAGTTGTAGACGAAACGTCGAGTTTAATCTCGGGACCACGGCTCAAAAGCCCGGAAATATTTAGTAATGTAGTTTCTGGCCGTGAAAGTCTAACATCTTTGATAATATCTTTCAAATTCTAGTCAAAATCGGCGTCTTTGGGCATTTTAGTAACGAAAACCATAGTAAACTATTAGATTTCGACGTAAGGCAACCTTTCTGAGTCAAATAGTTGCCGATTTCGATAAAATCTTAGTCAGAATCTGCTTTTTCGCCTCTTATTGTACCCAAATCTACCTTAGAAATGCAGATATACACTTAAAACACCTTCTTTTGGGACAAATAATTGGTTTTCGCCCTTGATTTACGGAAGATTATAGCCAAAACATGCATTTTCATAACTTAGCGAACTGAAATCTACATTAAAACTGCAGATAACTACTTAAAAATTCAGTTCCTTGAATTGATAATAGGTTTTTCTTTGTCATTTTAAACAGATTCCAGTCAAAATCGGCTTCTTCGATTCATATCGTACCTAAACCCGCATCAAAACTGCAAATATCAGTTTAAACTATCATTTTTTGATACAAACAGTTATATATTCATGTCAATATCTTTCAAATTCTAGTCAAAATCGGCGTCTTTGGGCATTTTAGTAACGAAAACCTTAATAAACTATTAGATTTCGACGTAAGGCAACCATTCTGAGTCAAATAGTTGCCGATTTCGATAAAATCTTAGTCAGAATCTGCTTTTTCGCCTCTTATTGTACCCAAATCTACCTTAGAAATGCAGATATATACTTAAAACACCTTCTTTTGGGACAAATAATTGGTTTTCGCCCTTGATTAACGGAAGATTATAGTCAAAACATGCATTTTCATAACTTAGCGAACTGAAATCTACATTAAAACTGCAGATAACTACTTAAAAATTCACTTCCTTGAATTGATAATAGGTTTTTCTTTGTCATTTTAAACAGATTCCAGTCAAAATCGGCTTCTTCGATTCATATCGTATCTAAAACCGCATCAAAACTGCAAATATCAGTTTAAACTATCATTTTTTGATACAAACAGTTATATATTCATGTCAATATCTTTCAAATTCTAGTCAAAATCGGCGTCTTTGGGCATTTTAGTAACGAAAACCTTAATAAACTATTAGATTTCGACGTAAGGCAACCTTTCTGAGTCAAATAGTTGCCGATTTCGATAAAATCTTAGTCAGAATCTGCTTTTTCGCCTCTTATTGTACCCAAATCTACCTTAGAAATGCAGATATATACTTAAAACACCTTCTTTTGGGACAAATAATTGGTTTTCGCCCTTGATTTACGGAAGATTATAGCAAAAACATGCATTTTCATAACTAAGCGAACTGAAATCTACATTAAAAGTGCAGATAACTACTTAAAAATTCACTTCCTTGAATTGATAATAGGTTTTTCTTTGTCATTTTAAACAGATTCCAGTCAAAATCGGCTTCTTCGACTCATATCGTACCTAAAACCGCATCAAAACTGCAAATATCAGTTTAAACTATCATTTTTTGATACAAACAGTTATATATTCATGTCAATATCATTCAAATCCTAGTCAAAATCGGCGTCTTTGGGCATTTTAGTAACGAAAACCTTAATAAACTATTAGATTTCGACGTAAGGCAACCATTCTGAGTCAAATAGTTGCCGATTTCGATAAAATCTTAGTCAGAATCTGCTTTTTCGCCTCTTATTGTACCCAAATCTACCTTAGAAATGCAGATATATACTTAAAACACCTTCTTTTGGGACAAATAATTGGTTTTCGCCCTTGATTTACGGAAGATTATAGCCAAAACATGCATTTTCATAACTTAGCGAACTGAAATCTACATTAAAACTGCAGATAACTACTTAAAAATTCACTTCCTTGAATTGATAATAGGTTTTTCTTTGTCATTTAAAACAGATTCCAGTCAAAATCGGCTTCTTCGACTCATATCGTACCTAAAACCGCATCAAAACTGCAAATATCAGTTTAAACTATGATTTTTTGATACAAACAGTTATATATTCATGTCAATATCTTTCAAATTCTAGTCAAAATCGGCGTCTTTGGGCATTTTAGTAACGAAAACCTTAAAAAACTATTAGATTTCGACGTAAGGCAACCATTCTGAGTCAAATAGTTGCCGATTTCGATAAAATCTTAGTCAGAATCTGCTTTTCGCCTCTTATTGTACCCAAATCTACCTTAGAAATGCAGATATATACTTAAAACACCTTCTTTTGGGACAAATATTATTTTTCGCCCTTGATTTACGGAAGATTATAGCCAAAACATGCATTTTCATAACTTAGCGAACTGAAATCTACATTAAAACTGCAGATAACTACTTAAAAATTCACTTCCTTGAATTGATAATAGGTTTTTCTTTGTCATTTTAAACAGATTCCAGTCAAAATCGGCTTCTTCGATTCATATCGTATCTAAAACCGCATCAAAACTGCAAATATCAGTTTAGACTATCATTTTTTGATACAAACAGTTATATATTCATGTCAATATCTTTCAAATTCTAGTCAAAATCGGTGTCTTTGGGCATTTTAGTAACGAAAACCTTAATAAACTATTAGATTTCGACGTAAGGCAACCTTTCTGAGTCAAATAGTTGCCGATTTCGATAAAATCTTAGTCAGAATCTGCTTTTTCGCCTCTTATTGTACCCAAATCTACCTTAGAAATGCAGATATACAAACAGTTATATATTCATGTCAATATCTTTCAAATTCTAGTCAAAATCGGCGTCTTTGGGCAATTTAGTAACGAAAACCTTAATAAACTATTAGATTTCGACGTAAGGCAACCTTTCTGAGTCAAATAGTTACCGATTTCGATAAAATCTTAGTCAGAATCTGCTTTTTCGCCTCTTATTGTACCCAAATCTACCTTAGAAATGCAGATATACAATTAAAACACCTTCTTTTGGGACAAATAATTGGTTTTCGCCCTTGATTTACGGAAGATTATAGCCAAAACATGCATTTTCATAACTTAGCGAACTGAAATCTACATTAAAACTGCAGATAACTACTTAAAAATTCACTTCCTTGAATTGATAATAGGTTTTTCTTTGTCATTTTAAACAGATTCCAGTCAAAATCGGCTTCTTCGACTCATATCGTACCTAAAACCGCATCAAAACTGCAAATATCAGTTTAAACTATCATTTTTTGATACAAACAGTTATATATTCATGTCAATATCATTCAAATTCTAGTCAAAATCGGCGTCTTTGGGCATTTTAGTAACGAAAACCTTAATAAACTATTAGATTTCGACGTAAGGCAACCATTCTGAGTCAAATAGTTGCCGATTTCGATACAATCTTAGTCAGAATCTGATTTTTCGCCTCTTATTGTACCCAAATCTACCTTAGAAATGCAGATATATACTTAAAACACCTTCTTTTGGGACAAATAATTGGTTTTCGCCCTTGATTTACGGAAAATTATAGCCAAAACATGCATTTTCATAACTTAGCGAACTGAAATCTACATTAAAACTGCAGATAACTACTTAAAAATTCACTTCCTTGAATTGATAATAGGTTTTTCTTTGTCATTTTAAACAGATTCCAGTCAAAATCGGCTTCTTCGATTCATATCGTACCTAAACCCGCATCAAAACTGCAAATATCAGTTTAAACTATCATTTTTTGATACAAACAGTTATATATTCATGTCAATATCTTTCAAATTCTAGTCAAAATCGGCGTCTTTGGGCATTTTAGTAACGAAAACCTTAATAAACTATTAGATTTCGACGTAAGGCAACCTTTCTGAATCAAAGAGTTGCCGATTTCGATAAAATCTTAGTCAGAATCTGCTTTTTCGCCTCTTATTGTACCCAAATCTACCTTAGAAATGCAGATATATACTTAAAACACCTTCTTTTGGGACAAATAATTGGTTTTCGCCCTTGATTTACGGAAGATTATAGCCAAAACATGCATTTTCATAACTTAGCGAACTGAAATCTACATTAAAAGTGCAGATAACTACTTAAAAATTCACTTCCTTGAATTGATAATAGGTTTTTCTTTGTCATTTTAAACAGATTCCAGTCAAAATCGGCTTCTTCGACTCATATCGTACCAAAAACCGCATCAAAACTGCAAATATCAGTTTAAACTATCATTTTTTGATACAAACAGTTATATATTCATGTCAATATCTTTCAAATTCTAGTCAAAATCGGCGTCTTTGGGCATTTTAGTAACGAAAACCTTAATAAACTATTAGATTTCGACGTAAGGCAACCATTCTGAGTCAAATAGTTGCCGATTTCGATAAAATCTTAGTCAGAATCTGCTTTTTCGCCTCTTGTTGTACCCAAATCTACCTTAGAAATGCAGATATATACTTAAAACACCTTTTTTTGGGACAAATAATTGGTTTTCGCCCTTGATTTACGGAAGATTATAGCCAAAACATGCATTTTCATAACTTAGCGAACTGAAATCTACATTAAAAGTGCAGATAACTACTTAAAAATTCACTTCCTTGAATTGATAATAGGTTTTTCTTTGTCATTTTAAACAGATTCCAGTCAAAATCGGCTTCTTCGA